CCTACTCTCATTGCTGTTGCTTTATTCATCCGTATGCATGGACACCAGTTAGTGGGGAGGAGACCAGACCACTAATCTCAGGTTGCCAAGCATTCACTGCAAACAGGATGCATACTTGTATGGGGAAAGCACAGGTCGTTGGTGCTTGTCAATTCCCGGCGGCAATGCACTCAGATGAGGCATGCATTAAGTCCATCGATTTAGATGCCAATTAGATGTTTTTCAATGTCCGAAGGAAGCGAGAACCGCCACTATCGACCGAATAATTAGATGCAGTCCGATATCTCGGGTGAATAAATTATCGTTCCCGGATAAGGGTTCCTTATGCTCAACGGAAAAAATTCTAGCATTCATATTTGCTCAGTGAGTCCGCTGGAATATTCTAGCACAGAATGAACAGAGAAATGGAATGGTACCAGGTACCACTGCAGCAGATTAAAGCAGAACCAGTGACTTTGATATGCAGCAGCAGCAGCAGCAGCAGGACACTGCTGAAATATTCTGATGTCATTCACTTCTCATGTGTACGAACTCTGTCCTACTCCAATCCATTTTTTTGGTATAAATTCAAGCGCTCCCTCTGTCAACGACCAGACTCCCCTGCGTGATAACTGAAGGGGGCTGTACGAAGAACAAAATACAGCCAATCATTCACTACCCTCTAATTTCTGAATGATGGCAAAGAAAAACATCTGTGGACCCAAAGTAGAATATTCTCGGTGCAATTCCAACAGCGTGCTGAACGCTTCTGTAGTCCAGACTGTCAGACAACATATACAGTCCAGTTTTGTATACTAGCGTGAACCGCTGTTTTCCGACATGCAAATCACGCGGTGTGCTATTGTACTCAGACTACACCTTACTGGAATCACGATGGCTATGAGCTGGCTTGTGTATAAGATAGTCGAAGACAATAGAAAATTTTTGGCCGCATTATTCATGCCAATTCAAATAGTAGAACTGTGCGTCTTTCTTGTGATGAGTGTGAAGTATGCCAGCTTCGAAAAGTTTGCAAAGACTTGGTCCAAGGTCCCGCTATTCACATTCATCCTCAGCGCTTACCCGCAAATACTCCGCAGTCAGTACAGTATGACTGTGATGAACAAGGAGGAGTTGTTGCTCGCAACCAA